GATGAGTTTCCCAAATTGCCGGGATCATTAATATTGATTCGGATGTCAATTATCTTTTTATATTAAATACAGAACATTAGAATTTCACATGATTACCAGTTCATATGATCAATCAAGTTGATATTGCAGTTAATTAAACAAAGCTTTCTGCGCAAATATACATGTTAATTTGTGTGCATATATATAATACATATATATGTGGAAGTCAACTGCTTGCGACCTCGAGTTACAACAAGTATATCTCATTAATTCGGCTGTTATTTGATTCTGCGGAGACCTCCCAACTCAGCTGAAGATCTGCGAACATATGCTAGGCAGGCAGTGGTTTCCAAAGCAGGCAACATCTTTTGATCCGAGTCCTCGATTCCATATATAAAAGTCGACGAGGGTTCCGCTGACACTTGTGATTAACTAAGCTAACTTCTGAATAATTAAGTTAATTGGAGAAGTAAAACATTACTTCCACCAGCCACATATAACATACTTGAATCTTAAGTCTACAGCCATAATCACCTATATCTATATGCATGCATGCAGCATGTATGCGGAGATATCGGAGTACGAATACTATAGTTTGTGTTTAAAGTTAAAGCGATAAACAATGTTTTATAAAAAAATAAAAAGATCCACGGTTGATCTATCAAGGAAATTCTGAAATCCACTCAAAATTTGAAACTTAAAACCTAACATATTCACTATTTGAAGAATCATATTCAAGCTAATCAGCTGTATCATAAAATGAGATAATAGTGTATGAATGAAAGTTTGCCCGACATGCATTTCATTGGAAAACAAGTACAAAAAGAACTATTAGACTTAACTCAATTGTGACTTGTGAGGGTGACTAAGAGTAGAGTGAATCTAAAGTTCGAAACCCATAATGTAAGTCATGACATACATTCAAATAGAAAAGACATGTAAAAAGTTTCTTGAAATCAATGTGTTGAGGTTGGATGACTCTACGTCTGTGACAATACTACTACGTAAAAAATTAAGAACAAAGTTTTAGAATTTATTGTGGGACATTACTGGCTTCATACATGTTAAAACTATGTAAATCAAACGTTATAAACAAAATCGTTTATTCTTTTTATCTTTATAATTCAATATCATCTTTAAATAAATTCATTCAATTTGAATTTATACCGTCATATGAATCAGTTAACTAAATAAAAATGAATGATTTTGATTATTTGTATGACAAAATAATGGAGAATGTAACCTTATTTGGAGCCGAGCAATACCGTATCCGTATCTCCCTAACTTTAACTTGATATATAAAAACATACGTTGGGTTGACCAGATTAATGAAGGAGGCTACTGTACACTAATAAAGAGAAAAGAACAAAATATGTATTGCGGAAGAGGGAGAGGAGCTAGGTTTGATATGAATGAGTGAGTTAAGGGCTGCCAGCCAAACCTGACAAATAATTACAACTGGAGCCTGGAGGTGGAACAAGACACCTTTCTGCTTTGGATAGTGCTGGAACACAACCGCAAGACAGCGTATTCTACTGTGAATAAAATCATCTGATAAGGAAGGATAACGACCTATATAACACAAGTTCATCATTAAGTGATAATCTGTTTCAAAAAAAACAATAACATATAAATTACATATTTCTTTATTCTTTTTTTTTAAGTCATCGTAAACAATAACATATAAATTACATTTTTTTTAAAAAAAAGTTGTCGTAATATTAAACTCGTACAATATAAGTTTTTCTTTCAATAAAATAAAATATTATTTCATCACAACACATAACAAATTGACAACACTTATCTCATCTGTTTGCGGGATCAGGATTCTCTCTTTGAGCAAATGATGAGGATCTTCATGACCAAGCCCATTGGGCCGTTCAAATTTTATCCAACAACTACAATTATTATTACTTTTAAAGGAACCTCTTTTTTGTAACCGTTAGATAAAATTTGAACTGCCCGATGGGCCTAATCATGAGAATCCTCACCATTTACTCAGGAGATGATCCTGATCACTGTTTGAGCACATACTAGGCACTTGGCAAGGGACAAGGATTGGCTGCCTCTCACTTCCCGTGCTCTCCTGTTTTGTGTGGTCACGGTTAAGTCACATCAACATTTTATATTATTTTTTATAAAGATAATAAAATAAAAATAAATAATAATATAAAATATTAACGTGATTTAATCGTGACCACACAAATAAAAGAACAGTAAGAGGGCAGACAATCATTGTCCCTTGGCAAGACATCCTCTCTCGATCAACGATCCAAACCCACCTAGTTGATTTGAAGGGGATTTGACCATATATGACATAAAATATTTTGTATTATGATTTTAGATTGAGAGGATTCATGTCATGTGGTCAGGCTAGCTACTGTTGTTGCTGCTATCAGCTGACCATCCACATGCTGTTGTTCCAGATTCATGCACCACCCGCCGATTCCTTCTTTCTTCCAGAGTTTCATCATCTTTTGTTTTTCTTTGGCTTTGTTCACTTTAGTAAACCGAAATCCTCCCCTCATACGTATGTTGTGTGTTGCGTTCTCGTCGAGCTATAGTTTTTATCCATTTCTTTTTGGGATTCTAGTACATCATTCTATATCAACAAAAATATTAAATACTTATAGGCTAAATTATGTCTACATGCGTCGTAAGAGTTCTTTTAGTTGAGAAACACTTTATAACTAGGACATTTATCTTAGACATCATGATAAGCATTTTTAACCAATTTAAAATTACTTTGAAATAGGCTCAAACATACTATTTGGTCACATATACAGTTGATTTGGTGGAAGTCTAGTAAGTGGTTGGAGAAGGCATGCGATTCTGTCGACGAATTCAAACTTTTTCGACATAATATGTGACAAGTGTTAACCTTACATGAAAATATCAAAATTTCATTTGAAAGAAAGACTTATATGAATCAAGTTTCCTATCTAGTAATGATATAAACTTGCTTCATGGAAGACGTTTAGAGAGCTGCTCCATTATCATTTTTATATTGGCATGTTCCATGCAAAAGTAGCATTTTTGTAAGAAAAATAATCCTGGAATGTTAGCTGTTTTCACGGTAGGTCAGGAGGAGAGGTATGTATGTATTAAATATGTACAGCACGTGTCATCGTCCCCACTAGGGCAAACCGAAAGCCCTGAGAAGCCGTCCTCACGTGCGTTACAAAATCTATGCTTGATTTGGTTCACCCTTTTACTTTTATTTTTATAATTTTTAAAGTTTATCTTTGATAATCAAACGCTGTGCTCTGCACCCAACATTATTAGAATGCCATTCATACTCTTCCTTGGTGGTGATTGTAGTAACAGGAAAAGGAGCCTTTTCGAATTAATTTTGTGGGATTCCTTTAGTCATTTATCGTATATTATGTAATTAGTTTTTTTCAGATACTATTTGTATTTAATTTTAAATAAATAAAATTAATTGATTTCTGATCGCACGATACATGATAAATGATTAAAATGTAGAAATTCTTAAGATTCCCACAAAGTAGATCCAAATGGGATCCAATTCCTTAGTAACAAGTAAAGAAAACAGAATACACTTGAGTTAATATCTCTTCGGGTTTAGCTATATGAGTTAATATATTGACAAGTATGGGCATATAATTGGGAACTGGATCCTCTCCTGAGCTCAGGATGGGGATCCTGATGAGTAGCTCATCCAGACCGTTCAAATTTAATCCAACGGTTGCAATTATTATAACTTTTAGAGGAGCCTCCTGTTTAGAATCGTTGGATCAAAATTCAACGGCCCGGATGGGTTGCTCAGGAGGATCCCCATCCTGAGTTCAGGAGAGAATTCCATACAATTGCTCCAATGCCCCAGGTTTTCAATAGAGACTTTCCTACACTCCGACAAGAAAGTAAAGAGCATTTTCAATAGAAATGTCAATCTAAAATGTTAAATTTCAGTGAGAAATGCTATGAAGACTCTCTTGAAGGTGGGAGAGAGTCCATAGACACTTCGTGCAGAATTTTCGTGCTAACATGTAAAACATTATACCAAATACATGAGGTGATGAAAAGTTTATGGAGGGTCCTATTTTTGGAGTCTCCTCAGCATTTCTCAATTTTATTTTGAGAAATGCTATGGAGGCTCTCTCAAAGTGAAATTCTCTATTGTCTTTCTAACATCTCACAGTTTAATGTCAATTCTCGTGCTAATATTATAATACATTGTAACAAAAACATGAAGCGAGAAAGAGTTTGAGGGTCCCACGCTAAACATTTACTCGGTTTCCATCAAGTAGCAAAGACCACTAAACCGTGTCATCATCACACTAGACATTTACTCGGTTTCCATATGTTAATTCCACAATTGACTCTTTTGGTTCAATGAGGCAACCAGTTGCCAGTTTCACGCAAAGAGCTAGCTGTGTTCCAACTCGATGACAAAGACAAAAGGTGCCGAGAGACTCACTTTTCTCCACGTAGTGGCCCGGGTTAATGCAAAAACATTGCACTTACTGCAGTATATGGCAGTGGCCGTTGGCCATTAGCGAGTCTCTCGTTTCTCATTGGCCACAAAAGATAGCCAGACAGATGAAAGACGAGAGATTTTTTCAATTTACTCGAAACATGGGAATTATCATTACAAATCGAGAAATGTTAAAAATAAACCGTAAAAGTGAGAGGAACTTGTATGTTACGGTGACGTCCATGCCAATATATAAACAAAGGCATCTGGGCGTATGATGTATTCTTGAAATAAGACATTATCATAATAGCGTACTCATATTATAAATATTTTTTTTAATAAAAAAATCATATCAACTCAATCGTTTAATAATACGTCATGTATCATCTTGTCGTTTAAATATTAACAAGATTTTCTAGAAAAACAGTCGAAATGTATCAATAATAATAATAATTAAATTCAAAAACATCTTTTATCATTCGTCTAATGTCTCTTCCTCTGTCTCCACCAAAAGAAAAATAATTGAACAGCTGTACTGCTACGAGCACTATAATAACAATCTCATCAATAATATTTATTTAAATTTTCCACAGGATAAAAAATTTGAACAGAAAAGAAAACCCTTCAACTACGAAATGCAGATAAAATCCCACACTACAAATAGGGCTGCCCTCCTCTCATTTTTCCTCACCACACCTCAAAGTCTCTCTCTTTCTCTTCCTCTTCCTCTCTGTGCTGGAGGTAATGCCCTAGAATCTTGAAGAACCTCCTTTTCAATTCTTTCAAGTTTCAAAGCTTTTGATAATTCTGTGTTTTGGGAACTTCTGTTTTGTGCAGAGAAAATGGCTTCTTGCAAACAATGGACTGTGTTTTTGAGTTTGCTGTGTTTGGTCTCTGCAACAGTGGCAGCTCCCCCGAAAAAGCCAGTTGCGGTGCCGTTTGGCAGAAACTACATGCCCACTTGGGCTTTTGATCACATCAAGTACTTCAATGGAGGCAAAGAGATCCAGTTGCATCTCGACAAATACACAGGTACAAAGAGAAACAACTCAAACCAGTACATATATATATATTATTAGTATCGCTCAAGCGTTAACCAGTTAGTAAATTAATCAAATGATACTTTTGAAATTTCATATTATGGATTCTTACTAGTATTTGGTTTTGATTTGAGAAGGTACTGGCTTTCAATCAAAAGGAAATTACTTGTTTGGCCACTTCCATATGCAAATTAAGATGGTTCCTGGGGATTCTGCTGGAACTGTTACTGCTTATTATGTGAGCGTTTTCTTCTCAATTTCTTTCATTTTTTTACTTCATTTTGTTTTCCAAAGTTTTTTGAAACGGACGTTGAACTCAAATGTTATATGCTTGTCATTCAGCTGTCTTCACAAAACAACGAACACGACGAGATCGATTTCGAGTTCTTGGGGAACAGGACAGGACAGCCATACATTCTGCAGACCAATGTGTTCACGGGTGGAAAGGGGGATAGAGAGCAGAGGATTTTCCTCTGGTTCGACCCTACTGCAGCTTACCACTCCTACGCCGTCCTCTGGAATCTCTATCAGATTGTGTAAGTTTTTTCTCTTCTGCCCTCTTTTCTTTAAATTCCTCTCTTTTCATGTACATTTTCTCGTAATCCCTTTTGCTTTTTCTTCGATTTTTTCAACCCAGTGACACTCAAAACATTAGAACAAAGTTGTTGGGTGACAGAGATTTTTCAATGTGATGGATACACGGTAGTTCATCATATGTCATTATACAAATGGTAAAATATGTATCCTAAAAGTTAATAACTTAAAAAATAAAATTTCTTACTACTTTTATTAAACATTTGATGTACTACTATTTTCATCACAACTAAAAGTTTCTAGTTGTGGAAATTAACAAGGTCCATCATCATAACTCCCATTTTTTCTCGTTTCATTATTTTTTTAATTTTATTCAATTTAAAAACTGGATAAAATAGTGCATTTTGAAAAGAATAAAAACAAAAGATAACAACAATCACGTGACGCGTATTATAAAGTTATAAATTATATCGGTTTAAGATACCTTGCACCATCATAAGATTTGCACCAAAGTCATAAAGTTCAAATTTTCCACTGAGAAACGGAAAAAAACAAAGTCTAGTAAGTCAAAGATTTTCAACCAACAAACATTGAACATCCCCACTTTTTCCTCACTTTTTCTTTTCCAACTTATTTTTATGGAACCGGATCTGAGCAAAGAGTAGGGATTCTTCTGACTAGGTTATTTGGACTGTTGAAATTAATTCAACGATTACAAATAAGAGGTTTTTTAAAAATTATAATTATTGTAACTGTTTGATCAAATTTCAATAATTCAGATTGTCCGATCAAGAGGATCCCACTCTATGCTCAGGAGGGGATCCGGTTCCTATTTTGATGTTTTTCGAAACAAATGTTTCAATATAAAATTCAATGATTTTATCGTGTTTGGCTTTTCTTTTTCTTTTTTTTTTCTAAAAAAACTGGGTAAAATTCATGTGGCTGACTTGTCCCGCCTTTTCATGCAAAACCAGATTCTTGGTGGACGACATACCGATCAGGGTGTTCAAGAACAGCAAAGATTTGGGTGTGAAATTCCCATTTAACCAGCCCATGAAGCTCTACTCCAGCCTGTGGAACGCAGACGATTGGGCTACCAGGGGTGGTCTGGAAAAGACCGACTGGTCCAAGGCTCCGTTCATCGCTAGCTACCGGGGCTTCCACATCGACGGGTGCGAGGCCTCCGTCGAAGCCAAGTATTGTGCCACCCAGGGTAAGAGATGGTGGGACCAGAAGGAGTTCCAAGACCTTGATGCTCAGCAATGGAGAAGGCTGAGGTGGGTCCGCAAGAAATTCACCATCTACAACTACTGCACTGACCGAGTCAGATACCCTTCTATGCCACCAGAGTGCAAGAGGGACAGAGACATATAAACCAAGAGTAAATTATGATTAGGCTGATATACTTGCAACATCTCGTGACGTTGTTACTGTCGCACGAGGATATATAAACGCTTTGTTTTGTTCGAGCGAGTGCACCGATTAGAGAAGAAGATGACACGTACTCAGTGTTATTACGTATTCCATTGTTTTTTCTATCGATTGTATCGTCGATTAGCATGCAGATTCATTATCCGTATGAGTGTTATTATCTTTAATTCCGTTAAATTATTTTTTAACAGAAGGTTTGTTAAATTATCATAATCTTTAAATAAATAATATATAGTTTCTGTGTTCTCTTCAATAAGGTGGATATTAAAATAATTATAAGATCTAATTATTTTGATCAACGTAACGTGGATTCATGTGAGCACTTGTTTTTTTGTTACTTGGAGAGTTGTATTAGAATAATTTACAGTGGCCTTGATTGATGATTCCCCAGCAGCACGATCTGAGTAAAGGTAAAATTATTGGTCTGTAGTCTGGCAAGTGGCAAGAGACAGATGGGAAGAGAGATATTTTTCAGTGTAACCGAGGTGGTACATCCCATGTCCTTATATAAATAGTGGGTTATATGTGTTAAAAAATTAATAACTTAAAAATTATACACTTGCATAAAAACATGTGGTGTACCATCCGTATTCCCGTCACAATTAAAAATTTCTCGTAAGCCACAAGGATTGCTTGCTTGTAGTTTGAAATGTTTTGGAAGCATTTTCATAGAGAAATTTTTTATTGTGACGGGAATACGAATGATACACCACGTGTTTTTAGTAAGTGGTGGAAAATTTTATTTTTTAAGTTATTAACTTTTTAACATACATATCCCACCATTTGTATAGTGGCACGTGATGTATCATCTCGTGTGCCCGTCACACTGAAAAATCTCTCCATTTTTTTAGAAGGATATTCTGAGATGGGTAAAACTAGAGAGATTAAATTTGTAGACTAGATTAACAAATCAAATTAGGTGTCACTAAGCTTTACTAATGAAGCAATGTTGGAGATTGGTAACTGAACCAAATTCTCTATATGGGCTCGTGTGATCAAAGTTCGCTATTTCCCTCACTATTCTTTTTGGGAGGCTAGAAAGGAGGTCGAGCTTCATGGGCATGGGCTAGTCTTCTCTCAGTTAGAGATTTGCTTCATAAAGGTTCCCATTGGCAAATCATGGGAGGGCAAGATGTCAAGGTTTGGAGTGATAGGTGGCTGCCCTCGATTCCTTCGGGACACCCGAAGCCTATGGGACAACAGAGTGTATCGCCAAATCTCAGAGTTTCTTCGCTAATATGCTCGATATCAGGTTGTTGGGATATTAGTTTTTTGCAAGCTTCTCTCTGAAGCGGATCAAATGGCTATTGAGGCTACTCCCATTGGTGTTTTAGGTCGTAAGGATAGACTTGTGTGGGCTCCGAACAAGAAGGTTATCTACTCGGTTAAGTCGGGGTACAATTGGTTAAGTAGTGTTGTGGACGAGAAGGGGTTTAGCCCTACTTTAATTAATCAACTCCCTCATATTTTTTGGAAACATTTATGGAAGCTTGGGGTGCATCCTAAGATCCGGCACTTTATTTGGATCTCGGTTCACGGTGGGCTTCCCACCCGTGCTACTCTCTATCACCGCAAATCTGCCCCTTCCCCTGTGTGTCATATTTGTTTGTGCCAGGATAAATCTCTTGAGCATATCTTCCTCCTTTGTACTTGGGTTCGCCCTATTTGGTTTGGCGGTGCGCTATCCTATCTGGTTTGGCGGTACGCTGTCTTACAAAGTGGATCGTGAAGCTATTTCTTTATGGGGTGGGTGGTGCAAGGATGTATTTTTGCCAACGTTTGGATCGGCTTCAAGCAGGAATTGGGCCCAATCTTACATTGCTTTCACTTGTTGGTTCATTTGGGAAGCTCGTTGTGATTTTGTGTTTAATAAGGTTCCATTGAACCCGGTTTCAGTTCTTCTAAAAATTTCAGCTGCCCTTAGTTCTTTTTTGAAGGCTAATTCTAGTGTGGAGCCGTGTGGAGCCGTGTGGAGTGACGAGTTTTGCTTCGGCTCATCAGGTTGCCTTTTGGTGTGATCCGTCTGATCCTTGTTTTAAGATAAATGTGGATGCTAGATGGTCGATGGTCACTCAACGAGGTTTCGCTGGGGTGGTGGTGCGTGCTGCTGAAAGAAGATTTGTAGCAGCTGCGCGCTACCCTATTTGTGCTCCATCTGCCATTACTACGGAAGCCCTTGTTTTGTTTCATGGGTGCAGGTTGGGGTTGAAGCTTGGTTTTCAGGAGGTCATTTTCGAATCGGACTCGTCAGAAGTCATTTCTTGTCTTTCTAGTTCTGTTGTTGACAACTGGGAGGCTTCCCCTACATTGGAGAAGATCAGATTGTTGGGGAGTTATTTTCAGAGTTGTCGTTGGTCTTGGGTCCGAGATCAGCTAATGAAACAGCGCACGTTTTGGCGTTGTATAATTCGTCGGAGATGAGTGATTCTGTTTGGGTTGATCGACCCCCATCTTCGTTGGTATTCATCCTAAACAATGACGGCCTCCCTTGTCCACATTAATTCTTGTTTTTTTTCGATGCTGGGGTGAGGCTTTCACAAGGTGGAAGTGTCCTATTATTTGTAAGCCTCGCACTGTTATTTCCTGCTCAGGCTCTGCCTCTGTTGTTAGCCTCTTGTAGGCTCTCCTGCTGCTGCTTTGTTGATCCTGTCTTGTTTCAATGAAGTGTGTTTCCTCTCAACAAAAAAAAAAAAAAAAAACATGTTTATCAACAATTAAGTAATAATGTATTCACCAACTTCCATATCATTTAGTTTATAAAATTTAATCTCTCTAGCATTACTCTTCTCAGATTATAGGATAAGGTTGTCTCTCTAGTTCAAAAATATTTGATGCCTTCTGTTGATGCATGCACAAAACCGAAGGTCTTGGAACAACGTAAATCCGACTGTGAATCTGCAAGTAATGTAAATAACACAAGATGTATCGTGGTTCACCCCAAGGTTTGGGCTACGTCCACACTGATTATGTATTTATCTGAGGGAGAGAGAGCTCTGAGAGTGAGAGCTTTGAGAGGGGGTGAAAGGGCCTAGGAATTGGCCTCCCCTAATTGTGAGGGTGAGAGGTCCTTTTATAGAATAATGACTCCTCACTTATTACATATTTGCCTCTTCCTTTATCACATAATTACATTTAAGTCCCCCGAGTATTTGTACGAGATCTAAATACGAGACCCTAAATATGGTATAAATAGTAGTCCCCCAAGTCTTCAGTCAAGAGAGTCTTTTGGCTAGAGACTTGAAATTCAGTCAATGTGTGGGCCGAAGTAACTAGATGTTGTCTTAAACTGATGTTCGATATGAGGCGGTGCTCAATCTGAAATGATGCTCAACTAGAAGTAGCACATGTTGCGAGGCTGCTCGGCTCGTGGCTTATGTTGCCTTGGTTGGCTCGGCTAGTGGCGTCTGAAGGTGAGGGAGTCATTTTTATAGAATAAGGGCTCGCTTCTCAATACATGAATGATGGGCTAGAGTTGATGCTCTCTAATGATGGTGAGGGAGTCCCTTTTATAAAATAAGGGCTCACTCATCAGTACATAAATACGGGCTAGAGTTAATGCTCTCTAATGGTGGTGAGGGAGTCCTTTTTATATAATAAGGGCTCGCCCCTCAATACATGAATGATGGGCTAAAGTCCCCTAAGTATTTTTCATGAGGCCCAGTTGAGGCCCAATATATGGTGTATAGTGTAGTCCCCCAAGTCTTCGGTCAATAGAGTCTGTTGGCTGGAGACTTCAAATTGAATCCATGTATAGGCCGAAGTAGCGGTTGTTCGGAGGCGGTATTTGTATACCCTACACTGAAGCTTTGTAGGTAAAGCTCTGTAAATGAAGCTTTGAAGCTAGAGCTCTGTAAATGAAGCTTTCGAAGCTGGAGCTTTTGTAAATGAAGCTTTTGAAGCTAGAGCTCTGTAAATGAAGTTTTTGAAGCTGATTGACATGAGTGATGCTCATGAATGTTTATGTTGATTGACATGAGTAATGCTCATGGATGTTGTCATGAATGATACTCATGAATGTTAACATAAGTGATGCTCATGAATGTTGACATGAATGATGGTCATGAATGTTTATGTATGATTGTCATATAAGTGATGCTCATGAATGTTTATGTATGAATGACATGAGTAATGCTCATGTATATAATTTGGAGTACTGGGCGTACTTTTGATCACCTGGTTGGTGGCATGAAGGGGAGTACGGGTTGTACATTTCATCACCTGGTTGGTGGCATGAATGGCTAGTTGCCAAATGATATTAGAGTACGGGTCTGGTTGGTGGCATGAATGGCTAGTTGCCAAATGATTTTAGAGTACGGGTTGTACATTTCATCACCTGGTTAGTGGTAATAGCGGCAGGTTGCCGAATAATTATGGAGTACTGGGCGTACTTTTGATCACCTGGTTGGTGATAATAGCGGCATGTTGCCGAATAATTGTGGAGTACTGAGCATACTTTGATCACCTAGTTGGTGGTAATATCAGCAGATTGTCTAATAATTGTGGAGTATTGGGCGTACTTTTGATGGCCTGGTTTGAGCTATTTTGGGCTTATGGGCCTTCGCCCTCTACACAACACTCCAACCCATTTATTTTAGGCTTGCCGTTTTTTTTTTTTTTTTTTTGATGATTACCCTCTGATGGGGTTTATACATATTACCCTTTGATGGGGTTATATACAAATGTCTCCAAAAGATAATAAAAATAAATTACATCATTCTAAAATAAATCTGATCCTCTGTTCAATGGGTCACGCCCATTATGCCATCACCACCACAATTATGTCTGCTTCTTTTTATCCTCTTTTGCTTTCTGCTTTTGCTTTTACTTTCTCTTTTCCATTTCCTGCATGTTCGCCTGTAAAACATAACAGGACAGTCTTGATACCACCTACTTGCTCTCTTTTGTTTTTTTCTCTAAAGTGATCTGTTTTTGTTTTTGTTTCTTTTGACAAGCTGATGGATTGACAGGATGGCATGGATCGGATTTTAGCACATGCGAAGAGTTATTCCCTTTGTCTAAGTGGGTTGTTGAAGATAACCCATTACTGCATTATTCTTAGAGATATGATGATGATGCAGTTGAAGATTGTGCAGAGATACGGAAGACCAAAAAGAAGACTTTGAGGGCCATTGGCTCGATGATTGATTGATTATGCAGGGATATGGTTGTCCCCTGATGATGCTGCCGTAACTTCCCAAACGTCACTGTTCCCTCATGATGATGCCGCTTCATGTTACTGGAGGTCGTCGATCC